CAAAAGTGGGTAACTGAGAAGCACTGAGATGCAGTCCCACCCTCTAGCCATGCAAATGGGGAACAGGGTACAGTTTTGTTTGTGCTAGGTTGGGTATCAGTATGAAGCTCTCAGAAGGGAATGGTGGCTAATAAGGACAGGAAAGGGACTAATTTAGATTAAGGTGGAAGGTCATTTTCTTGGTGGTACAATTTTTTTGTTTCTTTTTAACCATTTAAACAAGGAATAGAGAAATAGAGCAATTCTGAGCTGGCATGGCTGGCCAGGCTAACAGTGATAATGGTTCCACTTATGGTCATGCCTTATACACAGGTTCCTCATACATAACCTCATCTTTCCTCTTTGGCTCTGCTCACCATGGCTGTCCTCGATCCAGATTTCTTTTTTCCTACAGTCATTTTGACCTCCATGAGGTCCAAAACTAGATTAAAGATACAGAAATTCATTTTTTTTTTGGAGGGGGGTGTGACATTCTATCTTACAAATGCCAAACAGCTTTGGTGTGACTTTCATGGAGTTCCAAAGGAACAGAGCTTGGGTATGCACCTGGGTATTAACTGAGTTTGATTTTAATATTAATGAGCCTATGATTTGGTCTAGTTGACCTTCAAATTTGAATTAGGTGCTGATTAAATAATAAGGCAGGTGAATCCAGATGTGTTTGTATAGCATTCCCTCCACCCGCTCCCCAGTAAGGTGTCTTGGCAGTGGATGAGGATGACATATGAAAAACATGGAGACAGCTAGAAGAGAGAATGCTCCCAGACCTAAGGAAACAATTCTACATTCAACAAAAACATCGGCTCTTCAGAAGTTTTGACCACAGCACCAACTATCCATGCATTTGACTCCTGTGTTTCATGGACTTTCATATGTTTGTTTACATGTTTGTTAACTCAAATGGAAACTGTTTTCTTCAGAATTTAAAGTATAAAATTCTTTAAAAGGAGCATCTGTGATAGTAAATGGAGAATTCCTCAATAGGTAAAGTCATGTCCTATTTTTACAAATAATCTCAGAATGCCTATGAAATGCCACAGATAATTTTCCCAGGCCAGCTTCACACTGAAGTTAATTTCATCTCAGTCCTGGCTCTGGAATCTACCCCATGTAGATGAGCCATTCATTAACATTCCTCCTCCTCAAATCTCATCCTCTCATCTCAACTCCCACCCACTTGGCAGCCATAAGGACCCACTATGAACAGGTGTCGCCAGTGTCTGCATGACAGTCTGCCATGATCTGTAAGCAGATAGCTACGCCTTTCCACAGCAGTTGCAGTCAGCAGTTACGTGGGGTAAGTGGGCAAGAACACCCAGACTCGGTTCCCAGTAGGAAGTATGTCTACAACACTTGAAGAAAATCACTATCATAGACGATACTTAGGGTCTAACACTTCTAGAGATTTTTTTTTTCAACTTTCACATAACTGTTTGGTTGAAAAAAAAAAAAAAAAGACAAAAAAAAAACCCTTCTATTCCAGGAATAAAGACAAAAGACAGCCACCTTATTTTACTTGCTTGTTTTCAACTCATACATTCTAGAAGATGCTAACTTCCAATGGAGACTAAACTCTTAGCTAACGTAAACCCGGTCAACTAACCAGAAAAACTCTAAACCACTGAACATGCCACAAATACCATGAGCATCATACTGGAGAATGAGAATCTGGCCATTCCAGACCATGGTAAGTCCAAGGCCCAATAAGATGCTTCTTCAGGAATGAAATCTCCAAAAGTCAGGAGAACAAGGACTTTAGGACCTTTGATCAGTGGCAAATGTTCTGCCACTTACACTGGAGAGTGTCATAAGCATTTCTATAAGTGATCTTATGACTGTGAGGTTCTGAAATAGCCCTGGTGTCACCAAGGACAGAGATTTCTGCATGAAAGCTAATAACGGAAAAGATTTGAAATGAATCCTGAACACTTATGACTTCCTTTTAACCTCAACTTGACCTCAATTTTGGATGATTCCAATGGAAAATTCTTTTCTTAATTCTAGGCTGTGCATCTGTCAATCTTGGTGACAGCTCGGCAAGCATTAGAGACTGAGCTCTGAACAGATAACCCATTTAAAAGCATTGTCCTTATATGAATGCCTTTTCAGAAGACAAGCGTAAAATCCTCACCCTATATGTTTTATTGATAATTGAAACCAGATTATGTACTAAGGTAAACATGTTTTCCAAATAAAGAAGTTAATGGAAATTAACAATTTATTTCATCAAAATCCCATAAATCTTCTCATTTAGTCTCACAAAGGAACTACATTTGTGATACATGACAATTCTTTGATGGAGTTAGTACCATTAAAAAAGTCTTATTTTAAGAAAAAAATTCCTAAAAGTATTCTGAAAAATAATTGATCCCTGCATGAGCAATTAATGGTGTGAGATCCTAAAAGCATCAAGAAATATCACAAGCAGTGTGTTTTATGGAGGTGTGATGTCTCCCAGCTAAACAACTCAACAGCAAGAAATCTCAGCTTGAAGCATTCAAATGAGATTGTTCCTCTTTCTTACTTCTTAGATTCTGTCATTCAACCTCCTGATGCTTTTACATTTTTATGATAACCTAAATGATTGAGATGTCCTTTTTTTGGCTTAAAATAAGTACCATTTTCTACCTTTTCTCTTACATGATCGGTATATTTCTCTGTAAAATGACTGAGTTTCTCAAGAAACCTCTGAGGAACTCTGACACAAATTACATTCTTAGGTATGTCAAATGTTTTTTGAAGTATCAGATTCCTGGATATACACTTACATAGTTTGAAGGGAAGTGTCATTTTAAAAGTGCCAATTAAAAAGGGGGGGATCACTCAAGATGACAGCAGTGTGGTGGACACTATGTTGGTTCATTCAGAGCTCCTTTGGGAAGAAACAATCATTCTCCCAGGCATCCAGAGATAGCAACTATTTCTGGCTTCCACAATTACTTTAATAGAAAGAAACCTACAGCCACACACATCCTGGGAAAGCCAGCACCAGAATCTCTAGTTGGATCCTCTTGCCCATTGTGGTACATCTTTGGGGCTTCCCATAATTTCAGCTGGGATCCATCCCTTCTGACTGCACTGGAATGTCTCCATCAGTCAGTTCTGTCCCCTTCCTTTTGCTATTAAGGGAGTTGTTATCTCTCTGATAAACAAGCCACTTCATAATTACCTATCTTAGCTTGTTTTCTAGAAAGTCTGAACTATTTGGGGGGCTAGAGAAACAGCAAAGAAACTCACCTGTGTTGTGGTATTTCTGAATGGTGCGTGCATGGGTACATGTGATAGGTGTGTGCACAGGTGTATGTAGGAGACCAGAGAAGGTCATCAAGCATCCTCCTCTATAATTCTTAGTATTATTTTCTTGAGATGGTCTCTTATTTTATCTGTAGCTTGTCTGGCAGACAGCAAGCCTCAGTGATTTGCTGTCCTTAAGTCTCAGTGCTGGGATTACAGGCAGGCTTGTGCATAGGTGGTTGGGACTTAGTGGGTTTTGTTTCATTTTGTCATTTTTGTTATTTTTTTTTTTTTAAGCTTTTGAGACAGAGTTTCATCTAACCCAGATTGACCTCAAATTTGAAGTGTAGCTGATGTTGGCTTTGAACTCTTAATCTTCCTGCCTCCAACTCCTAAGTGCTATGATGGCAGGCATTGGCCACCACCACTGGTTTAGGTATTTGGGGTCTGAACTCAGCTTGTCATGGTGTACCAGAAAGTGTTTCTACTCACTGTTTCATAATCCCAGCCCCAAGGTAGACATTCTTCTTGTCCTCACTACAGAAGGGAAAACTGAAGTCCAAAGATGTTCACTGTGTATTTGCTTGCTAAGCACTTGTTCACTACTTGAATTATTTGCCAAAGGTTAGCTAAGTAACTGATAGCAGAGCTGGGATCAAGTCCCAAGCATACGGCCCAATTATTGGTATTCTTATTAACTGCCCTCAACTACATGTTATTAAAACAAAAGCTGTCAAGGGAATGGACATGGAATTAAATATATGCCATCAAGTGAGTATTATATTTTCAGGACTATTTTGATTTCCTCAACAGATTCAAAGTCTAGCAAGGCTTAGTGGCCATGTGTACCTGTTTTCACACTACATAGGTGAAGGAGTTACTGTCCTTCACACACCAAATGGTCTTACAGGGGCAGAGGGCTGGGCTGCATTTTTTATAACTAATGAAGCACAAATCTTCATGTAAGACAAAGGCCAATGAAGTACAAAATATGTTTTGGTGAAGACTACTGTTTGTCATCCGTACTATGCCAGCAACTACAAGAAATAGGTTCAAAGTATATGCTAAAGTTCCAAGTAGATGACATAGTTTACAAGACACAAATTTGTTCAGTCTGTCAGTCACACGAGGTTTTAGTAGCTACTAAGGGCAGCTATCACACAGTATTTCTTCTGGGAAGACTTACCAATCAAGAGGGAGAACAGCGAATAAACTACTTTATTTTCCTATTTTATTGTTATTCAAAGCAGCTTGCATTCCTGTATCACAGCACTTACTTTTAAAACAGTAACGATTTCTTCTATTTACTTTTTTCTTCTTGATTTACTTGGGTCAGGAACATTTTCACTTACTGATAGTCTATAGAAAGGTGGCCTTCCCCTGGAATTATGTTTATGGAATTCAACTATTTCTTCCTTGGGTCATAGGGCCTCCGGTAGGTGGTCCTCAATGTTACTCATTCAAACTTCTGCTTGTTTAGTCATTATAAATAGCAGACTCGACAAATTCTTGAGTTTTTTCTCTAGCTACACTTTCTCTGCTCCTGCTCTTACTTTATAAACATTATTTTTAGAGGAACACATGTAAATGTATATATAAATTCTGAAGAGGCTCGATATGGAATGGAGCAGAGTGGGTGGGATCCTGGTGTTCGAAATAGAGATGCATAAGAGAATCACATTTGTTCATTGCTTCAGGTTCCCACATAAACAAAACCCACACAATTTACTTGTACGGGCCTGTGAAGTTTAGATGTGGCATCATACCTTCCTCTTTACGGACTTCAGCTATGTCTTCTGAAGCGGGACTGGGCACAGGGGCCGTGTTGACACCATCTAGAAAACAGGAAAATGTTGCATGCTTAATACTTGAGGCTGTGACTTTCCTTTCCTTTCAGTTCCCTCCCCACCAACTAGTGAAGGAGTTATTGTCCTTCACACACCAAATGGTCTTACAGGGGCAGAGGGCTGGGCTGCATTTTTTATAACTAATGAAGCACAAATCTTCATGTAAGTCAAAGGCCAATGAACTGCAAAATATGTTTTGGTGAAGACTACTGTTTGTCATCCATACTATGGCAGCAACTACAAGAGTATTTTGCTTCCTCATAGCACTTCGGAGTCTGAGGCAAGAAGATTAAGAATTCAAAGGCAACACACACGCGCACGCGTGTGCGCGCACACACACACACACACACACACACACACATACACACTAACTATATATATATATATATATATATATATATATATATATATATATATATATTCCAGGAGAAGGGGATCACTCAAAGTAAGGTACCCAAAGACACACAGGGATCTCACATCACCCAGTTACAAAATGGGGGCCAAGGACAGGAATGACTATTCCCCTCACAATATCAATTAGGACCAGTCAGAGCTGATCTCTCCTACTGGTCTCCTCAGAACCATGGGGATTTGGTTTATGTTTGGCCTCCACAATGCTAGATAATTAGCTACTACCATAAAAACAGCAGACTTAGGACAAAACAAACAAACAAACAAACAAAAAAAAAAAAGAAAGCACAAAAAGACTTATTAAAGTCATCTTACAGCTGGTAAAACCATATACATAGGTTTCATATTGTTATTTAGTCACAGACTTAAAGATAAAGTACACACACATTTCAAGGAAATGTTCTTATTTTCTGGCACATCATTTTTCTGTTCTATATGGTTGTTACTTTTAGGTTGCATTTCTATTGGGACAGAGAATAACATCTACAGAAGGTAGAAGGTCTCTCTCTCTCTCTCTCTCTGTGTGTGTGTGTGTGTGTCACACACAGACTTAACCTTCCCTTTCTGTCACAGCACTTTCCCATTTTCATCTTCCTTCAGAGCAAAACTACCTGAGAAAAGTTATTGTTACTGCCTTTGAGTCTTCACCTCTGCAGCCCTCATGTGTTTGTCCAGTAGTTGTCCTAACTCTTGTCACCTAAGGCACTGGCATCCTTTCTTTGATGATCTAAGAACTGCCATTGCCACCACTCCTGCATTGATTTCTTCTCCTTTCTCTTTCAAGACAGGTTTTATGTAGTCCAACAGATCTTGAATTTGCCATCTTCCTGCCTCAGCCTCCTTCTCAGGTACCACCACTTTCAACTTGATGAATTCTTCCTGTTCATCTAACTTGATTTCTCAATAGCATTTTCCAGCCACCTCCCTGTTTGTTTCAAGCCATGTTATTGGCCTGGCTGCTTCTGCTTCTCTTGACAGGGATATAGGTATCAGGGACACTCCAGCTCCTTTGCCTTTGAAATTTTCATAATCTTCTTATGGAATCTCCTCTCAGGCTTCAAATATCCCCCTGTATGGCACTATCTTCTATAACTCCATGTGTAGTGTTCATGTCTCCCTAATATGAACTCATTCATATAACATGACATTCCATATAGTTGTCTGTACATTTTTTTCAAATTTATTGATGCAAACCTAAACTATTAACTTTTCTAACAAAATGTCTTCCAGTTAAGTGACACTGTTTTCTCTTAAGTCCCCCATGGGTTACACCTAGCCCTTCAGCTTGTGTACCCTGTTGCTTATTTCTAGCCGGTGCCACATTTCAGTATTTTCGTCTCTATTTCCAGAACCCTCTGTCATTGTTTTCCTGTAGTCATCTTCTAAGTCTACCTCTTCTGACTCATGAGCAAAATGACTTCATTAATACATAGATCATTTGTTCAAACATTTTAAACTTGCCCCTGAGTTCTTTCTGTAGTCAAGTCTGATCACATGCTGTCAGACACAATGTGGTTCTATGGTTTCTCACCACATCTCACACTCGGAGCTCTTGAATCCATTCTGCTGCAGTCAAACACACTGCACCCACCTCCCTGCCCCGGATCACGAAGCTTATTTATTATCTGTTCCCTCTATCTAGAATGGTCTTTCACCATCTCAACATTCAGAGCTCATTTTAAGCAACATTTCCTCAATGAGTCCCCCTTGGAGTTGCCCTCTGAGGGTTACCCTGATTTCATCATTTTCCCCCTGGAAGCTAATTGAACATTCAGATAATTTTATCCTTTTTATTTCTTTATTGTTTGTACCTTCTACTGGAGGCTAAACTTCAAGGAACCATGGATGTTGATTTTAGAACTAATTGAAATGTTTGCAATGCTGGGTAAGTAACAAACCTCTGATACATAGTTATTATTGATTTCTTGATAAATACTATATACAGTTGTATTTGATTTGATGGTGACAGCTGCCAGAACTTGTAAATTATGCTATTTTGAGATTGTGCCTTTCCATCACGTGGAAGAGACCTGCAGAGTTATGCAATCAACACTGGCAGTAAAAACTATGTTGAAGGAAAGCAAGATGTTTTTATTTTTGGAAACTAATAGCAGGATAAGGGGCTTTAACAACCAGAACTGCATCTTGACATGTTCTGTTGTCTGATTGAGGAGGCTGTGTAACGGCAAAATGAATGGAACAGCATCTAGTGACCCTGGCCAAAGCATCTGGACTCTGTCAGTCAGCCCACAGTCTTGGATGAACAAGAGGAGCCACTGAGGAAGACAGAGGAGACCCAGTGATGAAAGGCCGAGATGGAGCTGTATCAGGTGGTGATGCTTTTTATATTTCAAAGGTAGAGAAGAAGGCTCATACTTTTGTACTATGACCTCACAGATGTGGTCACAAAACCAAAATGAAACTATCAGAGCCCAACTGATTTAGGGGAAAAGGACAGATGAACAAAACACAAGCACGTGTGTGTGTGTGTGTGTGTGTGTGTGTGTGTGTGTGTGTGTGTGTGTATTCATGGTAGAAAAATCAATGTTGGTAAAGAAATCTTGGAACGAAATAGTGAGTGAGCAAAACTTATAAAACTTCCACAGTCAGCCCATGGCCTCAGCTGCCAGCAGTTGGCTGACTAATGCATGTCATCCCTGAGCAGTAAAAACAGTGACAGCTTTGCATGTGAGCTGCACCTTCAACACAGTCTAACAGTGTGTGTGGAGGGGCTAGCAATGCTTGGGAAGGAACAGTGTACAGTACCAGAAGTGCATTCTGTTCTGAGGAAAGGGCCATGTTTCAAAAAGGGAGCCAGCTGGCCCCATATCAGGCAGGCAGGGTCTTTCCTGTCTTCCTTCAATGCTTCTCCAAATCCATCTTTCCAGTTCTTAATCAAAGCTCATCTCCTAAGAGAACTCCTAGTTCCAAGAGCAATGTAGCAATGTAAAAGCTTTTGGTGCAGGCCATGGTGGCACATGCCTTTAATGCCAGCACTTGGGAGGCAGAGGCAAGCAGATCTCCGTGAGTTCGAGACCAGCCTCCAAAGTCACAGAGAAAAAGCTTCTCACATTCCCTGGTTTATCTCTGAGAGTTCAGCATATGGACTAGGATGTGGCTGGAGACAGTCACTCTTTAAAAAACATGCTCCCCATGGTACTCAATAGGACAAGGAAAATAACTTGGAGATTGAAGGGAAAGGGGATATTTTTATTTTGACAGTAATGTCAGAAACCATATGATTGTGGTTATTATTCTCTTAAAAGAGGAGAACATTCCTAAGGACAGAAATGAGAGGGTGTGTGTGTGTGGTTGGAATGTGTGTGTGTGTGTGTGTGTGGGGAGGGGGTAAGGCAGTGATAACTTGGAGGTCATTTTAATACCTTTTGAATCTTATGGGCTACTATTTAAAAAAGCTAAAGGTATTCTCTACAGTGTAAAATCTATAAACATTTGATGGACACAGCTGCCTTTTCTTAACAGGGTGATATCAGCAAGTTTTTTGATCTTACTTAGAGCTGTTGGGAGCAAGAGGTTGGTCAGACTCCATGGCACCATCTACAACATGCAGAGAAATGGCAGGGATACATGGCTCTTCAAAATTAAAGGCAAGAGAATAGAAAACACTCCATTAGTGTGGCGAGAAAGCCCTTCTTCATTTTATTCCAATAGATTGAGTTTCTTTTTTACTCCTCTGACTCAGTCTGCTCATTTTGACCCGCCCTAAGCATCTGAGCGCTGATGTAGTACTTCTAGTCTCAGCCCACAATTCTCAGCGTGTCACTAAGCAGCCTCTTATTACAGGAAGGAAATGGAAGATGGAGTGATGAACAAGAGTGTAGGTTGTTTATGGGAGCACAGTCAACTTAGAGTTAATGGAACTGGAGAGGAAAAGGAACACTGGGGTGAATCAAGGAAAAAGGCACAAGCATTTTCAGGCAATAACATTGAGTAAAGTTGTTGTTCACCTCTGTGGATGAGGCCTAGGAGACTCCTCAAAAGAAACCTGAGCCCACCTGCTTCTTGGCTCTGCCCTTCCATTTCCTCTGCAGTTTGTTTTTCCTCTGGACCACTCTCATCTTTCAAGAAAACCACAGGGGGAGAAAAAAAAATAATCAAATCAATTTATGAAATATCTCCTTATGGCTAATATACAACACTGAAATTAATTGCAACCAATGTAGCATGACTCCCCAAAAGCACAGCAGAGAAATGAATCAGAGGCATGAAATAGAAGAATCCCCCACATAACTCAGTACATTTATACTCGTCCCTTCTCCCTGGATTTACTAGAGGGAATGTTGAAGTAAACAATAGTCACTGGGCGGTGCTGGAAACATCTCTCTCTTTGCTGGCCATTTCCAAAAATGCCAGGCACATTTCATTTCCAATCTCCTTTTCTGCTCTGAATTAAGTAGCATGCTCAGGGTAAGGAGCTTGGCTGGTTTTCTATGCCTTTTATGTTTCTGTTGGATGAGTGCTTCCAAAATTTTTATTTTCACTTATCATGTATACGATGGTCTAACACATCAATGCTATGAATTTTTTTGTTCTGAATTCATTATGTTGATCAACTGTATAACTCTGAATAAATAAAATAAATGGCAGTGGAGACTGGCTGCTTGCAACTAATTATTTTTATGTCTTAAAATATATTCTAGCTGTGAATTCACGGGTAAAGAAAATACATTTCCAAGGGCAAGTAAGGGCCTGATTTTGTAATTAATTTGGGGGAGATCTCCCAAACACTTTTGTGGAAGGGAAATAGAAATGATTACCTTATATAAGGACACAGGAGCAGAACATGAAACACAGTTACATACAGAAAACTGAAAACCAGAAGCTATCAAAATGATGTACAGATATGTACATGACCATCTGTCTGGGAGTGGCACCGAGTTCCCTTCTGTGTGACTATGATCTGTGGTGTCTCTTGCTTGGACCAAGAAGGTAAGTGGGAGTGCCATCCTGAGACTTCCAAGCTGCCCTCAAAATGACAGCTTCTGCTTTCTCCCTTTGCAAAGGTAGCCACAACTGCAATGCAGTTCAGGAGAGATTCCCCTGTAGATAGAGGGACCGGAACAAGCACCGAGGACACAGACATGTGAGGGAGTCAGTGTGGCACCTTCTAGTCCATCCCAGCTGCCTGTAGAACGTGGAATTGTCACCTTAGCTAATGTCAGAGAGTAGAAAGGTCACTGAGCCCTCTCCGCCCCTGGCTCTTAAGTAGGCCTAAGCCACTGGCACTGACTTGCTTGTGTGTTTTGAGTCCTACCATCTGCCACCACTCCCTCTTTTCTGGTTTGGTTTGATTTGGGCTTTTGAGACAGGGTTTTGCTCAGTGCCCAATCTGTCCTTGAACTTGCACCTCTCATGCTCATGTCCCCTGTGTTCTGGGATGACAGGTATGCGCTGCTCAGTTCAGTTTTACTTCTGGCTCCGAATGCGAAGGCAGGAGCGTGAGAATCGTCACCACACTTGCAGAGAAGCATTTACCAAGATGCTCTGAAAAACAATGCACTGGATGGCTTTCCCTCTGGAGAAGAGAGCGGTCAGTAAATACCCAACCATGTGAGAATCCACTGCTTGTTCAGCTTTGCTGTCAGGCATGAGGGACACAAAGCAGTTTTGATATGAGAAGCTGGGGGCTTCTCGGTATGCTTTTAAATTCGCTGATGTAAGTGACATATTTAAAAGCACCTCACAGCATCTTCGGGGTTCACTGTGGAGATTCTTCATCAGGGTGACAGCACTGTTTTTTTTCTTTCTCTTGAGAGGAAATAATCATCATGGTTGTTCTTGTTCCCTTAACAAGGCCAAGCTGCTGCAAGAGCACGTGCCAAAAATCCAGCCAATATTCTCCCCTTCCTCCCTACCAAATGGACTGAGTCAAGCAGGGGGAAAAAAAAAGAAAGAAAGAAAGAAAAAAAGAAAGAAAGAAAGAAAGGAAGAAAAGAAAAATCTGCCAGCTATTTCCCAATAGGCAGATTTCAGATTTCATAACACAGATTTCATAATGGGCCTGAAGTCTGGAGGTGACATGCTGCCTTTAAAATTAGTTTGGTTCCCATGTCCCTTAGACAGTGAGGACAATAGCGTCTGTAACAGGAAAGAGGTAGGCAAGGAAAGGAGCAAGTAACTGGAATGTGGGGAAATGTTTCTGGAGGTTTCAAATGCATAAAAAGGAAATTCACATCCAGAACGCCAAACCCAGCGCTTTCACACAGGGGTCTCTCACACACTCTTACACAGTAGGGCGTCCTAAGCTTTCTGCCTTCCCATGCAGGCTACAAGTCCCTAACAAAGGCATCCCAAAAGTACACTTATCTTCACTGTTTTGAGTCTCGGCTGTAGCTTTCTACTTGAGTATTTCTGCTCTCGGGAAGCTAGCTCACTGATTGCTCGGCATGTTTATCATGGAAGAGATGCATCCTAGAAGTAGGTTGGATTTGGCACTGGAGTAACAACCCTGCCCTCAGCTGAAAAGGTTCAGGTTTTTAATTTCAGAGATAATTCACACTCAAATCCAGCAGGGGGCGCCAATGCTGAAGGCTTGCTTTTAAAACCCCACACTCTTGGGCAATTAGATTAGCATGCATCTCACTGTTTTTTAAAGGGCATTTTGGCTGCCTTCTATCTTCCCATCCATTTCAAATGCTTTCAGAGGGTTAGTTCTTACTGAAGAAGTGGGCCTTTGCCGGTGCGTGCGGGGGTGCGGGGGTGCGGGGTGTCACATTACTCAGTTACCAGTGTTTGGTAAGGAACAGCTTGGTCTGTCTATCTTCACAGGAAACATATAAACAATAAAAAGTTAAGTGGGGAAGGGCATATAAACTTGTGGTTTCTAGAAGGGATTTTAAAAGGATTGCAATAAATGTGAAGCAATACCTACAGGGAAGCACCGGGCTATTTTGTTAAAAAAAAAAAAAAAAAAAAAAAAAAAAAAAAAAGAAAAAGAAAAAAAAGTCACACAGAAGCCAGCTTCCAGATAGCTAAATTGTCTCAGTTAATGCAAATTTGGGATCATATATTCAATTGAGATTATAAATTTTAGTCACTTGAGATAATACATTTCTACAGCTTTTATGTTGCATGTGATATGGCATTTTATTTCCCATGCTGGAAAATGTAATAACCAGGAAAAATTCTCTGGTGTTATTTCTGACACTCAATCTTTTAATCCATATTTACTAAGCATGTGGTATCTGCAAGAATATATTTCATAAAGTTTACATGAATAAAGTGAGTGGGTCCTCCTGCAGAATGAATTCATACATGAAGGATTCTGTCACTGGCTGGACTGTGACAGGAATTCTTTGTGTGTTTAATTCTACATTGAAGGAGGATTGCAAGGGTGGAATCCCACCATTATGGCCACGAGGTGTTATCTTGACATTTTTAGTTCCTTCCACAAACTGGAAGAGAAAGAGAAGCTGACTGTGTTAAGTCCATGGTGGCTCTTAGGGAGGCAGTCTGATGTGTGCTGCTGGCTGCTAGGCTGATACTTTTCTTGTGTACAGGTATACAGACATTAAGATACAAGCAAATTGAAATACAGAAGAAGTTCACAGACTAAATTCTTGGTCCTAAATCTTTAGTCCCCTGTGATAGGATTACTAATGTCAATGTCCTTCCTCTGTGAGTAGGAAATAGTTACACTCCATGGATGCTGGACTTAGCCACATGACTTGATGTTGATAATAAAATACAAGTGAACAAAATATAGCCAATACCTGAATGTGCTGTATAACTGGACTTGTGTCTTATGTACCCACCGTCCGCCATGGGAAGAAGATGCGATTCAGCTGTTCGTTGCGGGAGAGCAAGGAGTAGGCAGAACAGCCTTCAACTCAAAAGTAGAGTCTGAAACCTAGTTTAAGTAATTCCCATCTTAAAATAGAATGACCTAGCCAATCCTATCTTACATAAGGCATCAAAGTCACCAATCTACAACCTGTACGATGTAACTAGAAGTTGGGGCAGTTGTTATTGTGAGTAACTGATAGCAGTTGAATGATATACACAATGTGTTTTTTTTTTTTTTTTTTGTTACCTCTTACTAAATGTTGGCATCCTTCTGTGTATGTTGTAAGTATTTGCATATGTTTCTATTTGTGTGCACAAGTGTATGTGCGTGTGTAGAGGCCAGAGCCTCTGGGTTTCTTCTGAAATCACTTCTCTTCCTCCACTTTTTTTTGGGAGTGGGGAAGGAATTGTGTGTATGTATGATATGTGGTATATCTGTACATGTATGCACAGATAAGTGAGCCCTTGATGGTATTCAGAAGTCAGAAGGATTGCCCGGAGTCCTGCTATATCTGTCTCATTCCCCTGTCTCTCACTGAACCTGCACCTAGACTGGTAGATGGCAAACACCAGTGATTCTCCTGTCTCTGACCCTGTTCAGTGTGTGTGGCCATGACCAGCTTTTTACATGGGTGTTGGAGATTTGAACTCAGACCTTTGTGCTATGCAGCAAGAGCACTTACCACTGCAATCTCTCCAGTCCACATTCAGCTCATTGATTGAGGGAGGCAAGCTCTCATTCATCGAGACTGGCTGGCCACCAAGCCCGTGATCCCCCTCACCGGGAGTTACACAGGCACATGGTGCTGCTGGCAGCATTTCTACAGAGGAGCCAAACTGAAGCCCTAAGCTTGCATGCCCTTGACCAACTGAGCCCTCAGTTAGCACTCTCCTATGTGTAAGAAACTCAGTCTTGCTGGGATTTTGTACTCTTCCCAGCTATATTTGCATCTCACACATTTCAAAATTGTCTAGAAACCCACATTTGGAAATGAAATTAGGTTATGTAAGAGAGAAATGAGCCTAAAGAGTGTCACTGCTCTTGGTATGGTAATGTTTATGCTTTGTTTAATTATATAGCTACGTGGGCAACAGCTAGCATGTACTGATTTCTGGTTACCTTCTATTCAGTTTGAGAATGCTCTGGGTAGAGTGCTGAATATAATTCCATAACAACCTCGAGAAGTATATGTGATCACAATACTGCCTGCCATGGCTAACAAATAGCCATTGCAAAGGCCCAGAGGCCAATCTGTTACTGCCTTCCTGGAAA